AAACATACCAAGTAATTATATTGGTATTTATCATCCTAGCTTGAAAAGGAATGGTGCTTTAAAGAAGTTTGAATGGGAAAAACAGAAGACAGGATAATCTAGAGATGAGGTTAAGGAAAGGTAGATATTGCTTTATAGGACCCTGCTTACTGTATTTATACAGTGAAGATATTAGTGATCACAGATGGAGCAACAATCTCTCTCCTCAGTGACATCTCCTGAGTCCCACATAAATTCCAAACTTTTTCACATGAAGCCACTCACTTTTCCTACTGAAAAAAAAAATTAGATCTCTTGACACACTTGGCTACCTGTTGACCTTTAGCACACTGCACATTAGCTGTTTTTCCTGCTAAGTGCTAGACTACGTCATCTGATGATTGTTTCAGGAAAAAACCCAGAACTCTTAACCTCTGTATTGGCCTATTGTCCATTGCTGTGATACCTGAAGCTGGGCACTTACAAAGAAAAGTTTAACTAGCTCACAGTTTTGGAGGTGTAAGGGCATTGGGCTGGCTCTGATGAGGATGCTTTAGCAGATGACATCATAATGTGAGAGAGATCACAAGGTGAGACAGTGTGGTAAGGGGCCAGTCCTGTTCTTTCATAACAACTCACACTAGAGGAACTAACGGTGTCCCACAAAGCCTACTTAATTCCATCTGAGAATTGTGTCACTGTCCCAATGATCCTACCACTTTGTAGTGGACCCCACCTTTCATAGGCCCCACCACCTCTTAACATCACACCAGGGACCAACACATAAATCCTTGGGGACAAATTATATCTAAAACAAAAGCATTTCATTTCTTTCTTTCTAGAAAATGTCCTATTGTCATTGTTTTTAGTATTTGTTGCATAACAATATAACATCATAGCTGGCCTGTGATTTTCTCACAATAAGTTATGAGTTCTATGAGAAAAAGGTTGCTCTGCTTGGGATAAAAGTGAAGGCGTGGTGTTAAAGGAGAAGCCTGATTCTGCCAGGTTAGAGATGAGAAAAAACAATTCACATATATGGTTTAACTGGGAGTTTGAGAAATTTAATATTATTATTACAGCCATTCACATAAGACAGCACCCAGCACAGTCACCATTCAATAAATGCTTATTGAGCTTAAGATAGCATTATGAACAAGGGTATTTGGTTTGTGAACAGACATTGTGCACAAGGTGTGTGTGGGTTGTGAAAAGTTGGGGGTGACATGGGGGTAGGTTGAGGGCAAGGCTTGAAGAATGGTGGGCTGGGATCAGTGTAGGAAAGGTCTTCTATGATGCCTTAACTAGGGTTTCAAGTTAGCCATTTAAGGTTTCTAAACAAGAAGGTGATCCATTCAGAGCTATTTTAGAAAAATATTTCTGGTAACAGTGGAGACAATGAGTTGAGTAAGACGAGGGGTGTGATCAGTTAAGATGCTGCTGCAAGAGACAGAGACGGGTCTGAACTTTAGCTGCAGCAATGGGATAAGAGGGAAGGTATGACAGCTTTAAGACAATTCAGGTGCAAAATCAAACAAGAATGGTGACCACTGCTGATTCAACAGAGTGCCAGAACTGGAATTGTTTAGAGATGCAGGTGGAGAAAACAGATAATCAGCTTAGTCTAGAACATGCTGGGTGAGGCACATATACCATTTCCAGGTGGTTCAGTTAGAAAGCAAACATTTTAGATACAAAATTAGTGCCAGACACAGAGGACTACTAGGCAACAGTATTTAACACACAGCATTATCAGTTATTCAATTATAAACCTGCTTCCTGTTCCTGGTAATTGGGACAAGGACTATTTTACTCATTTTCATATCACTTGAGCAAAATACACAACTAAGTAAATAGAATGTTTGATAATCAAGTGCATTACTGAATTTCAACTCTAAGTTGTCGATAAGTCAAAAAAGGCCACACTAATGTGTGAGGACATGGTAAGGGCACATGTCTAGCTTTGGGTTTGATCCCCTGCACTGCAAAAAAGCATAACCAAACAAAAACCCTCATCAACTCATCAAAGCCATGCCAATAGTCTCATGTAGGTATTAAGTGTTTTGTTCAAAGCTGATTTAAGAAAAAAGTTAAACTCATTCAATAAAACCAATCATGAAACCCAGTAAAGATGTATGAAAAAGGGAAAAGTATTGTAAAGAAATCTAATAATTAAATTATAATAGCTGTGAATTGCTTCATTTTAATCTTTAAAATGTATTCTTACGAATTCTTTAATCAAGAAATGCAATTTTTATAGAGAGCTACGTGAGTATTGTTAAAGTTTTCTTGTGTTCGAGGCTATCTCATATCTGGGGGGACATGGAATTCAGGGTAAAGAATTCAGATTCCCTGACACTAAATGAAATGAGTAGGAAAGGAAACCTGAAATTCTGCAATGATAAGAATGGGCTTGCCAAGTTATGTAAAACTAAACATCTTCATTAACAGATATCCTAACCCATTATCAAACTTCTCTTGAAAATATGGTTCAAACTATAGGAATAATTATGTAAACATATGTAGAGAAACCCTTTATTATAAGAAAGAACCAACTAAAATACCTCTGTGCCATTTCAGGTCAAACCTGAGATCTATCAAGATGGTTACAATACTTTCTTACTATACATTAAAGACATATCTCATGAAAAAGATAAGTTCTGGTAACTGGATAGTTCTGGAGTACTGAAATTATTCAATTCACAAGGAAACTGTACCCCTCTTGGAAGACTAACAGTTTTCCTGGCAGGATACTGTGTTATTTGATGTGCTGATAGAATTCTGTCTTAAAAAATAGTAACTTCTAAATTATCCTGTTACACAAGTTCAATCACTACAGACTCCGAGAGTGGGAAGAACAGAGCAAGCTTAGAAAATATCAATGCAGCACACCTACTGAAATGTTGGTTACAAATTACTTCTATCACATTATCAAAAAGACTAAAACACCTCAAGTGTGCAAATACCAAGCCATTTTTCTTTATTCTATCAGTATTTTGAAAAACAGTATGATTGGCTCTATCCTGAGAAACAATTTGTGATTTCCTTCTGCAGGAAGGCTATAAAAATTACCTGTTCCATAGATAACTTTTATAAAATGTTGCCACAATTAAGGACGAATTCTTCTCCAAAATCTTAAACAGGTAAGATTATACATGGTAATTGTTTTACTATTTGTGTCAATAGTGAAATTAAGAAAAAATACAAAAATTGTGTGAACATGTATTAAGCTATGTATTCCACAGAGTGGTCTTATAACAGGAAACAGGAAAACTAAACTATAGATTTAAAGCATTCTTCTTCATGACCAAACCAAATCATTTTTGGGTTGGAAGTGTAGCTAAGTTGTAGAGGACTTGCCTAGTATGTGCAAAGCTCTGAGTTTAATCCCCAGCACCATAAATATAAGATAAATAAACCAATAAACAAACCAAGTGATACAATATTTATCTACATTGACTTTTCCCCCTAAGTTAATGTTATTTTAGACTATCTTAATACCTACTAATCCATTGCTAATTCAACATAAAGCCTCAACATCATGTAGATTCTTTTCTTATGTCAAAGATAGATCAAGCTCTTCTTCTTTCCCCCAGACAATTAAGATTATAACTAATCCACAAATTTCAACACATAAGCAGAGTAAAAGGGTAATATCATCTTGAAGAATACAGTTTTTGAATTTCAAGCATTAAGTTTTTGTGCTTAAATCTGGAAAAACTAAATCTTTTAAAATAAGTTCATAATCATTGAAAACCTGATCATGTTTACATCACATATGGCAATAATGAAGACAAATTAACAATAAGGTTTTGAAAATTTGGCAGCATGATAAAGTCAAAGCATACGAAATTACTTCTCTGTTCTCAGCCACTGGTGGCCCAAGGAAGGATCAACTTTCCGTCTTGGACTCAGGCATCTAAATTAAAGGAGGAAAATCTGGGTTCAGACTCCTGACTCATAAACAGAAAAGGCCTAAAGCATGAATACCTTACCTCCAGCATGTCCTCTGAGAAGAATCTCCTTTTCCAAGAGCTGTTTTCAATTTAGTTCAAAGTACTGACAATGGCATAAATCTGCACCTTTGAGTTCAGGATAGATTTTTAAAGCTTAACAAACTACATTAACTCCTTTCATGCCAATTTATCTTGAGCGAGAGGGTTTTCTTTAAACTACACATATGAACAAAAACTTCCCAAGAGCAAAGTTTAGTTTTATCACCTGAATGATCAAACTTAGTGAGTTTCTTTCATTCAATTATTTTAAACCACATCACCTAGCTTTATTCACTTTTCTGTGTATATAGGCCTGTTATGTAAGAACGTTTTAGCCTAATACTGTTTAAAACAGATGTTTTAAGTGGTTTTATGTGGCTAAGTAACAGATTCAATATTTAAGTTTCTACGAAGTAAAGCTGGGATGACCAATTTAGGAAAATATTTTGTTAATTCTTAAAGAATGCTGCAGAATCACTTAGAAGTACCATTTATGCACGAACTGCTCATCCAGCAGAAAACCAATACGAATAGAAAAGAATTCTACCAGCATTCCATTATGATCAGAACAGTGGTGGAAATTCACACTTTAGAGCCCTTTCAGTTGTAGAAATATGAAACAAAAAAATGATCCTCTTTATAATAAAGTAAGTGTCAGTGAGTGTGAACTATTTGGATAAGCATAAGGCATTGTTAGAATTAAGGAAACGTGGATTGAGACTGAAGGAATGGTTTTTGTACTGGGTTCCATGAGACTGTAACAAATCTTTTTCTTGACTTTGAGTTATAAATACATAAATGTACCTCAAATCTCTAGCTCCTCATGTACTGTGTTCTTCCATATACACCCAGGTATTATGTATCTGCATCACAATCTTGGGAGGCAGGGTGGATAGTCATTTTTTACCTGGACTTTAATAAGTTAAATACAATTTTGATCAATTTGAGACATGACAATATGAACTAATTAAGTCTAAAATGTGTTGAAAATGACAAAAATTATTATTGTATAAATGGGGGCTGGCATCAAAGTGGCAGGTTTATTAAATTGTAATGCACAAAATAAAATGAAGTGACATCTATTCAAAAAAGGTACAAGACAGGTATTATTTAAAAGGCTTTAGTATTCATTTTCAATAAAAAGAAATCTGGCATTATAAAAATACATAAAATAGTCATGGGTTTTATACCATTAATTTACATAAGATACTTTTTTCTTGCATAAAACAAAGTTATAAAATACTTTTAAAGGTATTTTTTATGTGAAAGTTACTCCCAGTATAAAATTTTTTATAACTTTTTGTAATTTTGGTTTATCTGTATAAATAGGGCAATTTATCCTTTTAAAATTCATAACTCCATTTAAAAACATAGGATTCTGTCTCTTTTAAATAGAAGTCCACTGAGGTAGTATGTTAAGCTTTTCTTTGGTGCTCAATTCAGTCTATGTGTCCAAGTTGTAAGACTGAAAATTTTGAGTCCTGTAGTTTTCTAAGTTCTGTTTATAGGTGCATGTGTAATTATCTTCCTGAAAATCTGTCCTTCCTTTCTCATCTTCCTCTGACTCTAAGTCCAAATCTGGGACAGAAGGAGCTTTCATGTGCAAGGCTCTCGACTGGCAATCTGGTGACTGCCCGTAGCTGGAGCAGGCTTCGAGCTGCGGTCTCCTCAGGGGCTTTCCAAATGTGCCTGGAAGAAGAGTATCCCTTGAGTGCACAGGTCCTTTTGCCAGCATGCAAAGCAACAAAACATTGCAAGTAAGAAGAATTCCAAGCATATCCTATGGGTCCCATTGTAGTACTGAGGTGTCTGTGGTATTGACACTGTTTAGAGACATCTGTATTGAATAAATGTATCCATTCTTTCTTTATCACTTCTCATGACCTACAGTAATATTAATCACTGCACAATGAAGTTTCTCAAGTCTGCCAATGTTAACTTCTCCCCAACCCAAATCCTTGATTCAGGACTTGACATCCCATGATTATCTATAAAGGGCATTTGAGTAACAACATGGCAGTTAATTATGCCTGGATATAGAAAGTTTCTTTCAAGGGCTAGTATGCTGGCTCATGCCTGTAATCCCAAATACTTAGAATGTGCAGATTGGGAGGATCAGTACTCTAGGCAAGCTCAGAAAAAAGTAAGCTAAGCCCAATTTCGACAAAAAAACTGGGCATGGTGGTGCATGCCAGTAGTCCCAGCTACACAGGCAGCATAGGTAGGAGGATCATGGTCCATGCTGATTCTGGGTAAAAAAGTGAGACACTTTCTGAAAAACATCAAAGAAAAAAAGGCTGGATTGTGATTCAAGTGGTGTAATCCTACCCAGCAAGTGTGAGGCCCTGAGTTTAAATCCCAGTGCAGTTCAAAAAGAAAAAGAAAGTTTCTTTCAAAATATTCCTGTCTTGCCTTTTTTGTTTTCCTGCACTAGTGGGGATTGAACCCAGGGTCTTGTGCATGCTAGGCAAATGCTCTACCACTTGAGCTCCACCCCACTCCTTTTGTTTTCCTTTTATTTTTGAGACAGGGTCTCACAACTTCCTTTGCCTGAGCTGGCCCTGAACTTGTGATCCTCCGTCCTCTTGCCTCCTGAGCAGCTGGATTTACACCCAGCTTTTCTTCTTCGATGGTAGCAAAATACCAATCAATTAACTCAAATTCTTGCCCCAGTCCTTCAAAACATACTTTCATTTTTCAAGAAGGAATATAAATAATGATATTGTGACAAGACATAAATTTTCTTAAAAGCTGGGTAAAATATTTTAAAATTCTACTAAAAAAAAAAAAAAGGCACGTTGTTGTGATTCATTTTCCCATACTGCTCCACTAAGTGAAAGCACCATCTCAGTTCTTTCATCCCATTGTTCCCATGGACTAAACCAGAAAACCCACAATGTAATCCTGGTGCCACTCAGTATGGAACAGCACCAGCTTGGGCTGGAAGGCTGTGAGGGTCTCTGGCTGACAGGAGTCTAGTTTGTCTGACTTAGCAGCTGTTGCTAGGTAGGATGCTGTTTTCCACCCTTCCACCATGGGTTCAGTTAGAAGCCACCAGACATACGAAACCACAATCATGCAGAGTGCACAACTCCACCCTAAAGGCTGCTGGAGCCCAAAACCACTTTTTCCACATGGCCGAGGAGCTCAGGTCTGAAGTCATTCCCCAAACGCGTGTCTCCTGCATGCCACACACGGTGTAACCCAGAAAGCTCCCAGGGCTTAGGTACAGATCAGAGCCACAATCAAGTAAAACCTCCTCTGTCTGCACATTTAGAAATGCTCCCACTAAGCAGGAGGATCTCATGGTAACATTATTAAGCCAAGAAATCATTTTTCACCAGTGTGACATTCAACATTCTCCCTGTCTCCTACACGCAAACTTGGAGTACAGGTCCAGTACAAGGGACCTGGTAATTTGATAAACTTACCCATGAAAGAATTACTGGAAGTTACTGACACTGGTTCTGGACTTGAATTACAGTCTAAAGAGGACTTGTTCAGACCTAAACTTTTCACTGCAGCTCCTTCATTTTGCGAGTAAGAGGAGTTCATTAGCTTCCTCACATGTGAAGGCCACGCTGTGTTACTGAAGTTCTTCTCACAGGATTCTTCTGAGGGATGAGGACATGGATGGCACTCCTTTTTCTTTATGTAATTGGGCTCATAGTGGTCCATTAAAGCTGTCCTTGGGTCAGGACTGTAACCTTTTTAAATTTGGGATCCATATGAGAAGGAGATACAGTTAGCACTTCCAGAAGTCTCTCAGGAAACAAAACAGTACTCAAGCAAGAAAACCACATACCTGTATGATAGGCTTCAAAGGAATCTGAAGTATACACATTCCCCTTCAAATATACAGGGCCTGAGGATCCCAAGAAAGGACAGAGGAATGGATCTGTGGCAGCTTCCACATCAGTTTCACTGTTGTTGTCGATATGGCAGGTCCCTTGAAAACACATGTCTGAGTCACTCAACCAATTTTACAAGAGCCGTTCAACATCCTCTCCAACTTTAGCATTTTCTATATCTATAGATAAAAGTTTGGCTAGAACATGACATAAAAATCACACACAGTTACAGGCTTCTTTTCAACTTGAGGCCTTTGGATTAGGAAGTGAGCAAACTTGGGACAGCTCACTAAAAGAAGACTTCAGTAACCATTGAACTAGATGCGCCAACCTTGATGCTGGCACCATCTGGTTTCTAAAGGGAAGCTGATGTCTGTGTGGATCCTGAAGCCAGAGCAGTCAAGGTCTGCATCACATCTACCAGCACTGTCCCCTTCCAACAAAATGTCACAGATGACCAGAATCTGGAATTGGCATTTGAGCAATGATTTCTTAGTGTCCAGTTCAAAGATGAGCTCAGCCAAAATAAATGTCTCATGGGTGGTTCAACTAAACACAGAAATGATATGCCAGCTAGTAGTGGACACAGCAGTCCAAGGATTAGCAATGTCATCAAGGTTAGGGTCATCAAGATGGGTCACGCACCTGGGAGGTTGACAGTGTGCAGTAGGTGGGTGGGTGGTGGTCTGAGAGAGAAGCATACATACAGAATGTGACTCAGCAAAGCAAGGGACTTCCAGAGCTGCTCTGGGAGCAGACCTAGCTCCAGGTAGCCTGCCACCACCATGCTCCAGTTCTGACCCATCAGGTTTTCATGATATGTTTTCAATCAACTCTATTGTATTTGAATGAGCTTAGATCTAGCCTGAATGCTCACTATTATGCTCAGGTCTTCTCTTCTATCTCTGCACCCTCTCTCACTGCCTTGCCAAGTACTCTGTAATTGTTTGGTTAAATGTTTGTCTCAGTTGTGAAACTGAAAACAGTATGGTCCCTCCCAACTATGAAGCCTGGTATAGAGCAAATACTCAGTAAAGGTTGTGGTAAAAAGATGATAAAATGTTTTAAAGTAAGAGCAACAGCTTCCACTTGCTGAGTCCACAGTATGTGCCAAGCATTATGTAGTTTTCCATCTTCAATTCACTTTTACAAACACCTTGCCAGAAGTTCTGCAACTGTACAATGTACATAAGAAGTGGGTCTCAGACCAAGCCCACCTCCATCCTGCTGCCTCCATCACTATCTTCAAATCTACAAAGTAGCTAAGCAAGGATCAGCTTTAGACTTCACCAATAGGATGACTTCACTAATAGGAAAGCATTTGACTTTTGTGGCTATTCATGAAACTACTAAAGGAGGACCTTCAGGGCCAAAGAACATTTTCAGTGTAAAGGAAATATTACATTGCCTGGAGAAATCAATTTCCACTTAACCTACTTGTCTTTTACTGTCAGAAACAAAAAGATTTTTTTACCAGTAGTTAAGAGAAGAATATAAAGCTACATAATTTCAGCTTTGCTAGTGATCTCAGGCCAGGTCTTCTCAGTATATCAATTTTATGTGAAAATTACTATTACATCTGAGCTTCCCACTACAGTGCTTTAAAACAACTATGGCCATGGGATCATTTTAAACACTTACCAGTACTGTCGTGCTGTGGCAGGAAAAACCCACCTCCTGAAGAAGTGACAAACTGATGGTGGCTTCCACTTTCTGAGGAGACGTAACCATCCTGCCTGTCAGCTAATGTTCCCTGAGATGACAAGTAACTAGGAATATCTGCTGGCAAGTTGGTCTCATCTGTAATCAAACAACGTCATTCTATCAACCAAGAATGACTGCCATTGTCCCACAGGGACAGATGAACAGCATAGACTGCTTGTACAAACCAAGTAAGCGAAGATCTACTCTGACCAAGCTATCCTGATATGCTGAATTCCGGAAATGTAAATGAGGGCTTTGCTGTTCTGGGAAACATAAGCTGATTTTCTACTTTATCACCCATTGGATATACTGCCCAAATTTTAAAAACAAGTGTTTAAAAAGATAAAGGTTTGAGACTATTCACCGGATAGCATCTATATCCTTGAATTTGATTTCACTTATATCAGAGTTTGCCCCTTCTTCATTCATGACTAAAATCCTGACCAGGTCATGCACACACACAAGCACATGGGACTCAGAACATGTCTACTGCAGAGAGCAAGCCTCCTTACTCTAGGGCTGTTCCTGGCTCTCCACCACGTTGTGAAGGAGAGACTATTTTACTCTGTGACCTTCATTCTATCTCACAGCCAACAGGTCTATCTCACATCATATTTTGATGAGGTAGTAGTAAAAAGTACTAATCTTTGCATATCAGCTTTAGTTCAGGCTGGAGTGCTATTTTTAGCTAACCATATTTCTGCAGTTTGAAACCAATAAGTTACCTTTCTGAGATGGGCTCAGACTGGGAGATGCACATTTCTCGAAGAAAATGACTACAGAACTGTAAGTGCACAACTACAGTGTCCTGGCCAAGCTTCTGTTTACACACCTGTGTTGGTAATGCTGCAATCTTCATTCCTCCGCCTTGTATGGTATATGATGACCACCCACACGAGCGACGTGCCCACCACGCAGCAAACCACAGCTATGATCACGACACCCACTGTGGCCCATCCATCATCATCTAATGATGGGGCGGTCATCTGAGGCGAGTCGCAGGTAGGAGTAGGGATCACACTGAGGCGCACATTGCCTCTCTCAGTGCCGAGGGTATTGGACATTTCACATGTGTACTTGCCGGCATCACTGACATCCGAGTCCACGATAATTAGCAGCTGATTGCCTGCTGCAAAAAAGTGCCTTTCGGTTACCACCAAAGGGCTGTCATCTTTGGTCCAGTTCAGCCTGGGAGGAGGGCTACCTCCAGCGATGCACTGCAGAACAGCTGTTTCTCCCTTGGTTACAGTTCGATCTAACAGAGGCCGCAAAAATGATGGAGTTTCTACAATAACAAATTATATTTTTAATTTCCTGAATGAAATCTGGCTTCCATATCATAAGACCTAACATTTGAATGTACTCAAATTGCAGCCTAAAATTTTATCTCCCTCCCATTTACTGGACATGCTTCTATAAGAACTAAAAAATGATACCACATTTTGGATCTTATTATTCTGTTGTCATTTACTCATCACACCAGTTAAGGATAAAAGGTACTACTTTTTGACTGGGTTGAAGCCTGAAATCCTAGGTACTTGAATGGCAGAGATTGGGAGGATTGTAGTTTAAGCCCAGCCCGAGGAAAAAAGTTTGCAAGATTCCAACGCAGACAATGGCAGTCATGGTGTGCACCTGTCATCTCAACTATGCAGGGAAACACAAATATAAAGATCACAGCCAGTTTGGCCTGGACATAAAGCAAGACCCTATCTCAAAAAAAGACCAAAGCAAAAAGGGCTGCTGGAGTGGCTTTTAGTGGTAAAGCACCTGCCTAGCAAGTGCAAGTCCCTGAGTTCGATCTCTAACCTGCCAAGGTTAGGAAATTGGAGGAGGGGATAATATCCTTAAAAAACAGAAAAAGTATGGATAGTGTTGAATGAAGAAAAAACTGGAATGTAATGCTTTTAAAGTGAAACTTTCTAGTGCCCAATGCCTAGATCTATACTAAAATTCTGAAAATAATTTATTTTTTGGGTTTTACTTTTTGGTGGTACTAGGGTGTGAACTCAGGGCTTCACACTTGCTAGGGCAGGCACTCTTCTGCTTGAGTCATGCCTCCAGCTCTCTTCTTTGGTGTTTAATTGGTTACTTTAATTCTTTCAAATACACATGAATGATAAAAGTGTTTCAATTTTAACAAGTATTTGTTTACATAATAGATAAGAACTTTGATTTTCAGAGTGGTAAAGAAGGTTAAAAAAAGAGAATAGCGCTGGTAAATGGATGGAATTGGAGAACATCATTCTGAGTGAGGTTAGCTTGGCCCAAAAGACCAAAAATCATATGTTCTCCCTCATATGTGGACATTAGATCAAGGGCAAATACAACAATGGGATTGGACTTTGAGCACATGATAAAAGCGAGAGCACACAAGGGAGGGGTGAGGATAGGTAAAACACCTAAAAAAATTAGCTAGCATTTGTTGCCCTTAACACAGAGAAACTAAAGCAGATGCCTTAAAAGCAACTGAGGCCAATAGGAAAAGGGGAACAGGAACTAGAGAAAAGGTGAGATCAAAAAGAATTAACCTAGAAGGTAACACCCACGCACAGGAAATCAATGTGAGTCAATGCCCTGTATAGCTATCCTTATCTCAACCAGCAAAACCCTTGATCCTTCCTATTATGTCTTATACTCTCTCTACAACAAAATTAGAAATAAGGGCAAAATAGTTTCTGCTGGGTATTGAGGGGGTAGGGGGAAGAGGGAGGGGGCGGAGTGGGTGGTAAGGGAGGGGGTGGGGACAGGGGGGAGAAATGACCCAAGTCTTGTATGCACATATGAATAATAAAAGAAAAAAAAAAAGAAAAGAGAATAGGTCCTTTCTGATCTGATTTATTCTTACATTTTTTTCTTTTTCTTTTTTCGGCAGTACTGAGGTTTGAACTCAGAGCCTTGTACTAGCCAGGTTGGACTCTTCAGCCATACCCCATACCCCAGCCCTGTTCGTACATTTTTTTTGTTGCTATTGTTGGGAATTAGGAGGGCTGTTTTGGTTTTGGGATGTGGGGTTTGAAACAGGGTCTCATGATGTAGCCCAGGTTGGCCACGAATTTGCCATGTAGCCTAGGATAGCCTTGAACTTGCAATCGCTCTGCCTTAGCCTTCCCAGTGCTGGGATTACAATCACCCTCTACTATGCTGCGCTCTTATGCATGTATTTTCTTTTATGTTCTTTATAGTGTTAAATACTGTCAAGATTGCACAATGTGCAGAGTAGAGGAAGGTAATCCCCACACAAGAGAAAGTATTATAGTTTTTACTTTCCCCTTTCCTTAGGGCGGAGGGGCAGACTCATCTCCTCAGCCACATACTTAAAGGTGCAATGTGCTCACTGACTTCAAAGCCTCCAAAAAGCCGTTTGTTCTTTCTAGGAAAGGGCAGTACTTTTGGGATCTTCGTCTCTCCCCCAATGTTTGGCACTGAGAGCCTTTGGGTAAGCATGCAAACAGACTTAAACCAGTTGTTTCAAGCAGCCCTCTTACCTAGCACAGTCAAAGTTGCATTTGCAGAAACGCTCCCTGCAGTATTCTGGGCTGTGCAGCTATACACCCCAATGTCCTCTATCTTCACATCCACAATAAAGAAGACATCATCCTCGGGCATCACGTGCATGCGTCTCTCCCTTGCAGCTGGGAAGTCTGTGCCTCCATCCTTCTGCCAGGCTATCTGTGGGGCTGGGTGTCCCATGGCAGCACACTCCAAGCGTGCCATGGCTCCAGCACGGATGGTGAGGTCCATGGGGGTCTTGGTGAACGAGGGGAGCACTGAAATCACAAAACCAAGGCAGGCAGGAGTGCTATTGTGATTCAAGGGTTCACATACATTGCCCTCCTTTTGCAAAAATGTTTACAAATATCCCTGACAAGGACCAGGCAGAGGTTATTTCTAACTCAAGACAGGGAAGCAGAAGTTGAAATGGATAGACGAAGTAACTTTTTCAGGCTCACACAGGACAGAAGTGACCAAGCCAGGATAAAACACAGGTCATCTGATCCTCTAACAACAATCTTCCTACTGTGTCCTGGTCACAGCAAAGTTTCTTCAATAATTAACTGTGCAATCTTGGGAAAATCAATTCATCTCTGTTCCCTGACCATTCACTTCTTCTATTTTTTGTTTCTAAAGTCTCTCCTGTAGGACCTAACATTTTATGACTTTAGATGTGTCTCGGCTTACAGTCTAAACTCAAAACTATGCTATGTGCCAGGCCTCAGCAATCCTTGCTGAATGAGTGATTCATTAATGAATTATATCTGCAATCTTCTACCACACATATAGAAATGGTTAAACATGATAAAGTGATAAGAATCCTACTGTAAAAGTGCATGCCTGCCACACAAAGCAAATGATGATATGCCATGATTACTAAGTAGCTAACCTTAACTGCATTTACTGAGCACTTCCTAAATTCCAAGATATTTTTTTCTTCTTTCTTTATCGTTTTTACATTTACTTACATGTCCAAGATATTCTGCTAAGTTCTTCACATACATTATTTTATTTAATGACCATAATATCTTCACAGGTGGGTACTATTGTTCCTAACTGAAAACTGTGGAAGCAGTTGGGCTCTGGTAGCTCAGGGCTATAATTCCAAGATAATGTGGGAGGCTGAGACTGGAAGGATTGTGGTTCCAGGCAAAACTAGTTTGTGAGACCTCACTTCAATGGGAAAAAACTGGGCGTGATAACTCAGGCCTGTTATCCCAGCTACAGCAGGAAGCTTAAAATAGGAAGATCGCAGTCCAGGATGGCTTGGGCAAAAAAGCAAGACCTATCTCCAAAATAATCAAAGCAAAAAGAACTGGAGGCACGGCTCAAGCAGTAGAGAGGCAGCCTAGCAAGCGTGAAGCCCTGAGTTCAAATCCTCAAACCACCAAAAGGGGGAAAAAATAGAAAGATATAAAAGCAGAGGCCAGAAAGCTTAAATAACCTGCTGAGAGTTATACAGTCACAGCAGCAGAGCCAGAAGTCACATCCAGATCTCTGAGTTAAAGCCAGTAACAATATGCCTTGTGGCTTTCACATCAAGAGTGGTAAATTGTATCCCTGGCACAATTAAAAAAAAAAAAGAGTGGTAAATTGTGAACTCCCACAGGAGCAAAAGATGTCTGGTTCCTCCCCCACCATATTGAGTGAGGTGCACTCAACACAGTAATTGCTGGTTCGAATACAAATAACCAAGAATCTTGATTTTTGAGTGAGAGGTGAGGAAAGGGAGAGTTAGGTGAGAAACTGAAAGGGCAGGGTTAGGAATGAGAGAGAGGAAACCAGTGCTTTCTGTTTCTGAAAGCTGTCTCTAAATGCAGAAGGAAAAGTTGATCACATACTATTTACTGTGAGCTTGGCTTTGACTGAGTAGGATGAGCCAAAGTGATTAGAGATGACACACTGGTATTTCCCTTCGCTGGCAAATTCCACATTGCGCAGCCTAAGAATGGTGGTATACTCCATCACTTCGCCACCCTGGGCCCGGAGGTGTGCATAATTTTCCATTTCAGCATCGTGTAGAAGTTCATTGTCTTTTTTCCATGCAAAAGTCATTGGGGAATCACTGCTGCTGGCAGCTGAGCAGATAAAACTCAAATTGGAGCCTTTTATTGCAGACTGTGTTTCTGGCTGAACCGTGATCTGGGGTTTGGGAAAATCATCTGTTCAAAATGGAGAGGAGGAAACAAAACAATGTAAAGGCTCAAGAGTCCAAATACTGCTCAGATGTGAACACCAAGAAACTCAAACAAACAGTGGCTTAGGTCTGACCCTCATGTGTGTTTTATAGGCTGACTAGAAGTCCCAGTGTTGAAGTGATACCCAGGGTGAATGCTCAGAAAGTACTCCATTCATGTCAGATAGAGACAGAGGCCTGTTTATCCATCATTATTACCTGAGACTGTTACCTTGAAACTACCAGAAAACTCATGGTTTATTCCAGATATCTTGTGCTTCATGTAAATACAAGAAAAGAGCAGTTAAGAAGTCACAAGAGAAATTAGCCAATGTTGAGGAGTGAGTGATGCAGTGGAATAACCACGGTTGATAGCGATTCAGTAACTATTTAGAAGAGTCAGCAGAAAGGACTTTCAATGTTCATAACATAAAGAAATGATGTATGTTGGAGGGGACAGATATGTCAGTTCCCCTAACATGACCACTGCACATATATGCATGTATTCAAATGTCACAGTGTCCCCACTTGATTGGCAATTACTGTGCCAATCAAAAAATAAACATTTTTTTTTTTGTGGTACTGGGTTTGAACTCAGGGCCTACACCTTGAGCCACTCCACCAGCCCTGTATCCTCGTGATGGATTTTTTTGAGATAGGGTCTCTTGAACTATTTGCCCAACCTGGCTTCAAACCCAGATCCTCTTAAGTAGCTAGGATTATAGGCATGAGCCACTGGCACCTGACTAAAAAATAAACTTTTTTTTTAAGAAAGAAAGAAAGCAGTGAAGAAAATTCCAAACACATGGAACATCTTTGAATTTTACTCTTAAGAAATGCAGTTTTGCCCATGCTTTCTAAAAAAAAAAAGCAACAGTAAAATTGATAAAGCAATCATCGACACAAAAATCAACATCACCAAAGACAGCAACTAACACCCCATCTACCCAGAAGAGAATCAGTATAAACAGCAGTAATTTAGGTAGAGCCCAAGAAAAGGAAAAAGAAAAAGGAAAGCCAAATGTATCAGCAAATGAAAAACCATCTCCAAGGTCAGTGTGACCCTGAGCTCGCCTGGAGTCAGCCCAGGGCATCAATCCCACTGCTGTGCTACCCTACAAAGCTACATTATAATTACAGCTAAGCAACTCTTTCATTCTAAACACTTAATTTTTAGTTCTCTGTTACTTTTCAAAAAAGTTACCTTTTTTGAACTTAAGTATCTCAGTGATACTCTAACTCTTAAAGAAAACATCTTGGACCTACCAACATGTATTATTTGGGTAATATGAAAAAAATAACCTTTTAATGTGTGCGATGGAACACAGGGGATGCTCTAACTATTGCAATGCTGCTCATTTTCACACCATGTCTGGATGTTGTAAACAAGACAGCATTTTCTTCTGTACAACTAGTTGAAATTCTCACCTGATAAATCAGTGCTCTGATTCACAATGGAAGGAGGTGGAAAAAAAGTCCTATGGATAATATGTGTGTGTGTGTGTGTGTGTTTGAATTTGTCTCAGAGTGCTAGGAAGCTCCTTTGCTGGGTTGGGAGAACTGTGAAATAAGGACCATGGGAAAGGAAGAACTCAGGCCTTTACAGAGGAATGGCAAAAACTTATTTGGATCCAAAACCTACATCTGAGGTTTTATTTCCAGAAACTGCTGGCACTGTTTAATGTTGTAACCTTAAAAAATTTATATTTTAGGCAAAGCAGAGAAATTTTTAAATGCCAATGTAAAATATGATTCTGTACTATCTTCACACACATGCTTAAGTTTAGGCCATGTTTTATTTCATGTTTTATATTATTTTTATACAGGTTTCCCTAGTAGCTAATAGAAAACAGCAGTGTAGTATAATAGACAGAAAGCTGCATCAGAAAAGGAAACCTTATTTTTTTTTTAAATCAAAATTTGCTACTAACTAACTATGTAAGCAGATTTCTAATGCTCAGATTCTTGGGTGCAAAACAGTGAACCTCAAAATTATTTATAATAAATTTGAGCTTGTTATTACTTATGATGCTCTACTCATGAACAATCAACTTCTCAGCAGCCCATAAATCCTTAGCTACTTAATTTTCTTTTCTACAAGCCTCTCCACAGGCCCTAGAGTTGAGAAGAGCAGAAAATAACTGAGAAATATCCAGGCCCATGCATCACTAATCAGGAACTGCAATTTCCCCCATACTCTCCAAAAATAAGGAGCAGCAAAATTAAGAAAACAATCATTGATCATAATAATCAATGTCACTAAAGACAGCTATTAATAACCCATTCACCAAAAACAGAACCAATATTAAGAAGCAGTCACAGAACCTCTACTTCATGGTTGCAGAGACTAAGTCCTGTGGAATTTAAGTGAAGCAAAAGGGCTGGGGCCGTCCTTTAGTTCTCTCAAGATTCAATTTCATTCTCTTCCCACCAAACTGCCCTGATGCCAAAATAAAGATGAAGAAATTTTAGAAAACTCTCTTTCCCATCTGTAAAATTAGAATAATTACCAAGCTATAGATCCATTTTCTTCTACCTCAGCAGAAATCAAAGCTTTATTAAGATAGTATAAATCTGTTCAAAACCATTATTTAGACAAATGAGAGGGCAAAAAAAAAAAAAAAGGAGAATGAATAAAAATCAAGGGTGATACTTATACTCACCACACACAAAGCCATCTGGGCTAACAGCAAAAATACTTCTTCCTTTTAGTAGCTGAGGATGGGCGCAACTGGCATTTACAAAGCTCTGAAAGTTGTTCTCTGCCACCCATTGTGGGAGCCATTTTAGTTGGCAATCACACAAAAGACTTGATGTATTTAAATGCCTGAGGAGAGTAATTACATTCAATTTGTTTTGTATGAAATGCAGATTTCTACAAGTAAACTAAAGTAAATAGTAACAAAGCAATGAATTTGGAAATCAAATACACACAACCCATATTATAAATATTCTATAATCCATCTTAAAATGCAAGAAATGGACATAGGTATATTGCTTTTTGTCTTTTTGTAGTTTGTTCTTATTTGTGCTACTGAGGCAAAACTGCTGATATATGAAATTCCTTAGGCTAAAAAAAATGGTACTATATTTAGGTACACTACAATATTTGGTCCCACAAATTTTAAGTTGTAAATTCAAAACAGAAAGAAAAAAAAAACTCCTCATTTTGACAAAGGGAACAAAGAACCAATTCCTTTTGCTTCTGGTATAAAAATTAAGCAATGTTAAGAATGTACTAGACACTTTTTATAGACACATAATTGAGGATGACACACCCTATGACAGTTTTCCCTTCTATGCTTTACTTTAAACTCTTGGAAGAAAAAAAAAAAGCTTACAATTGTTGGAGTTTCTTCATTTGAGAAAATGCATTGCCTTGTAAAGACATGATTGCGTTGTCACTCAGGTCTCTGAAAAACAGCCAAATCAAACACATCAAGGCAAACTAGGGTCATTTTGTGTCTTTAGACAAAGTTTAGGTCAAAACTGCGCACCCCGTTCATTATGAAAATACTCTGTGTTCAAATGCATGAATGAAGAAACTCTGCAAGAATCCATTATAAAGCTTGAATTGAGAAATAAGGATATCTCTATCAAAAACAAATTCTGAATGAGGAAAAAGTATCACTTTCTGTCCCCACTTATAGGTCATTTGATGTCTATAAGGGCCCAAGCTATTTTGCTATATGGTTTTATTGCATTTCTTATTATTCAAACTAGTTAACTTTTAAATATGTAAAGCTAATTCCTCATAATTCTGAACTTTTAAAAACGTCATTATGAAACACTTTCCAGACATGCACTCAGTTAAGAAATTTAAATATATTTTCCATTTATTCCTAGAGTAATCCCAAAGTAGAAGGCATTACAATGTAATTCAGGGAAGGTAAGAATTTAACCATTTATTTTCAGTTCTAGAACCTGTACTTTTAACCACCAGCCTAATTCTACCAAACACAAATCACCAATAAAATGGCAGTAAGGTACTCAGATAAGATGTACTTATTAAGCCAAATAAACATTCCAGGTAGGACATTTATAAAATGACAGAATATTCTGAGCTTTTATTTTCAACTATCACTTATAAGCATCTTGAATTAAAGTATTAGACACAATGATTATCATTGTTTTTCTTCACAGAGGTCACAGTATACAAAAGGGATTCTGAAGGAGGCAAGTAACAACAAAAGACTAAGAATGATGGTGCCAGACAGGTATGGAAAGAGCTTGAGAGAGTCAAGGAAGGTTAAAGAAAATTGAAGCAGGGGTTAATACTGCACGGATCCACTAATTCCACTTTCCCAGAAATGGAATAGGCCCTCTGACAAACCTTTTGGCTAGCTTTCCTTTGAAAACAATCTGTTTTAATCAGTATGTTAATACTGCCCACCTTCCCTAAACTCAGCTTTGCAGGATCATCCTACTACGATTTCCACAGCTGTGCCTTCAGAAGGACTAGCAATCCAAATCTCTTTCAAAATAACTAGTACAGTCAGATGATGAATTCAAAGTGGTTGACAGATAACATCTGAATCTTCCCTTTTAATCCATAGTCCAAATGAGAGTACAAACCAAATGCAAATATTAAATTTGAACTTCTTTTGTCCATGTTAACAGATATTAAAACTTTTGGCTATAAGCATTCCTTAATAGAGCAGACATGTTACATATAATGTTGTAATTTCACTGCACAAGTACAAAATGGATAGCCATGGTCATATGTAGCTGACTGGCTCAGTTAGTCAAAATGTATTGCTAGGCAGATTTAGAGCCCTCCCAAGGTTAGCTAGCTTTCCTGTCCAGTGGCTGAACATCCTCCAGCCCTAAAGCTCATTTCAGCAATGTATGTCAGGGGTTTCCGAGGAGGGGCAGAGATTGGGCAAGCAAGAACTAGAGAGATGCAGGGATGCTGAAGGCAGAAGCAGCCCTACCTTGAGTCCTGTTTCTGCCAGTCACTAACTTGATGGGTCAGAAACAAAGGAGAACAACAGGGAGGGACAGATTTTACATTTTATATTAAGCAACAACAACAACAAAATATCTCGAAATAGTGTTAAAACCTTCCTATGTACTTGTAACGATTGTGGGGATTATCTTTTTGATCTTTAAAATCCATGTCATCTTAACTGTTCAGTGGAATCAATAAACCTTCAGGATCTTTGCTTAATTAAAAATAAAGACAATAATAACTACTGAATAGTATTCTTATAAGAATTAAGTGAGACAATATATATAAATGCCTACCCAGCATGTAGTAAATGCACAATATGTGGTAAGTTTTCAAAATTTAATATGACTATTTGATTGAAACAAACAAAATTCAATAACGAAGTATAGCAATGGCCTTAAGTGAACAGGAGAATATATATAGGTAAACTTCTATATAGATAGAGAAATAGAGCAGATAGGTAGATAGATGGATAGACAGATAGACAGATCGATAGGTAGATGTGTAAACTTATCATATGGTACTAGAAGAGTGCCAACAAAATTAGATTCTAGATTATTTTATCTTTCACAACACATGAACAGACAATCATTATAGGCTAAATGCCTACTACTTACAGATGTTCTAATGCATCCAAACCAGTGAAGGCCTTTTTGGTAATAGAGCGAATCCGGTTTCCTTGGAGTGTTCTGGAAAAAAAAAAAAATTCATATTGGAACAGTTGATTTTAAAGAGCCATTTATGGGGCAGAACTCCAATGGAAAGGATTGCTTTTTAAGTCACTTGTGAATAATTCTATTTTCTTCAATTACTTTCTTCAATTAAACAATATATCTTGTAAAATTGTACTCCTGCCATTTATTTTAGTAAAGTACTTCAATATGTTTTTCAAAGCATTCAACAGAAAACCCAGCAAAGACAGGTATTTAGAAAGTTACTCTGATGGTCACATTAAAGCACTGTTCTTCAAAGTCTTTTTAAAAATAGGAAGAAACTTTATTTCAAGAAAATTATTATAAATAAAGCAAATAATATTGGAGGTTTTCTCCTTCCTCTCCTTTTCTGTGATATTTCCATTGTCAGCTGAAAACATAATTTGACCATTTGTAAAATCATTTTATGACTAAATAAAAAATATTTTTATTTTGTATTCTTAGAACTTACTGCAGCATTATAAGTGGCACTGGATAGCTTCATTTGAAAATTCCAGGGAGTGCAATATTGAGGGTTTTAAAATGCTGAATAAACTGTGACAACCTCAAGATCTAAGCACCCCAAATAATTTAAAGTTCTTACTTAGATACTAAAATAAGTAGCTGAAATGTTGAATTTTCTTCCTCTTTTTTAAGGAAGAGAAGTAGGTAGTATGCACACATCTTGTACCATAGTACTCATTTGGATGAAATGATAAAGACTAGCAACAAGATTACACACCGACTTCTAATCTCTTTACGATGTCAGTTCATGGAACTGACTTCAATTAAGACAAAAATTTGAAGTCACAGAGGAACCAAATTATGACACAAATTGTACTTACAGCCGTCTCAGCTTATCAAGCCCAGAGAAAGCACCATTCATATCTTCAATAGTCCATGAAATTTCATTGTTCTTCAAATCCCTAATTAAAACATGCATTCTCTTTAGAGATATGCTTCAGAAAACTTAGATCACCACCCAGGTAGCGTGCCATTTGTAACAAATTCCTACAACCCCCTATCATCTTCATCTCTTTCAAAATAATGAACTCAGCTCTCCAATGTACTTCTCATACTCCACACCTTTCCCTCAACAACATCCTAAGATTTTGTCCGAAATCAAGACAGTCAACTCTGGTCCTGTTAATTCCTCCATCAAGATGACTACATTCGGAAGACTTGAACAAATTTGAAAACTACATTAAACTTTAAAACCACTGTTCCAACCACACAAGCAGGAGTTCGCCAAAGCATACAGCATGTCTTTCAATTCTGTAATGGTTCAAACGGAACAGAGCACAAATTTCTGACAGTGCAAAAGAAATCAAAAGCCCATTGCATAATGTTAAATTAACATCTGAGAGGTTTTCCAAAGGTCAATTAATTCAATTCTCTTATTTTTCTCTTAGGACAGAGATCAGGTTGTAGATGTAACTGGCATGATAAACAGGCATCTTCCTCCACTGCCCTTTGTATATTCTTTTTTGCTCTGGGTTATGTTTAATCTGTACTTTATAAAGAAAAATTGGTGGATTTAACACTGTTCCCCTTTTCAGCAGTTAGGAACTTCCTGGAGATCCTGAGAGAGCTAACTGTAATCACTCAAACAATCTGATCACTGTCCTTCCTAATCCCTTTAAGAAACACATATGGATGAAATGGATCCATTTTAATCAAACTGTTCTGGGAAAGATTAAGACACGACTTTTGAGGCTGTACACACTTCCTTGACAACAAAGGAACTCTGCAGGGAGAAAAGTGGGCACATTTAGGAACCAATTAGGTTCGCGTATGGAGAGCAAAATGTGTAACTTACAAAGTCTTTAAACTGGAAAGCCCCCGGAAGGCACAATCAGCAATATAGTTGACTCTGTTGTTCCCAATGTGCAGTGTGTTTAGTAAGCTTAGGCCGAGGAAGCTTGAATCATCTAACCTTGATAAATGGTTGAAAGTTAGGTCTCTGTAAAGAAAAAAAAGAATTAAAAAAATAGGTTTTATTTTTCCATTCAACACAATGATTTGTTTTTTAAAAGACAGGGAATAAATGTAACTACAATAATCCATAGTTTAAAACTCTGCTTTCATAATACTCCGGTTAACATTAGTTCTAGTCTCAGCAATTAAAAAAAAAGCAGCCATGATTGCTTTTGCCAATGTGTCACAGAACTAAAAACAGCAGATCTGGCTTCAATTTATCACAACAGAAATGTGGCCAGGTTGCATATGAGAAAAGCTGTCACCTTGGAAACTTTGTTACAAAAATTTCACAGATCAGTGGTAAGAAGCTCATGCTTTCCCATGATCCCTACTCTCCAACCTGAGGAGAATAAAAGACAACTCACAGCTCGCTGAGTTTTTGGCAGAACTCCCAGGCATCAGGGCTGATTCTGTTGATGGCATTCTGGCGGAGATGAAGTTCCTGCAGCGTCAGCAAGCCATAAAGCCAGCCCTTGGTAATCTCGGTTAGGTTGTTATGGTCCAGCTGCCTACACTCACAATAGAATAGGCAGGATGCAGAGGTCATTATTGGTCTCTTCAAAGAGGACATGATTACAACTTATTACATAGTCCTATTGTCACTAGAAAGTTAGCTTTTGTTATATATAGACATCAGCAAACAATACTCTAATGTGTGACTTATAAATATATGTGTTTGTAAATTCTCATGTTATCTGAAACAGAACTGAATACTAAATTATAAATCAAAATGTGTATCATGAGATTTTAATAAAGGCTTTCAAATAGGAACTACTGAATGTTCACCTAGCATTCAATGATCATATGGCTTGAGAACTGTGACTTACAAGATTTCCATGTTGCTCAGCCCCCAAAATGCTCCATCCATAAGTTTTGTTACTCCATTCCTTTGCATTTTCAGAGACTTCAGAGCACCAAGCCCTTGGAAAGTGAGTCCATCTACATTTTTAATCTTGTTTCGGTTCAGTTCACTGCATTGGGTATTACAATTAAACAGTTAGTTCACATGGCAATTAAATTCTGAGGTAGTAATAATAAAATGTGTCTTTACAACAATATATTTAACCCAGTCAGTGTTAAATTACCTAAAATGTTTTAAATTTCTAAACCTGTATATTGAGAAGAATTTCTGTTTATTAGCAGGGAGTAAATTTCTATCTGAAACGTGTGATGTATTTTTGGAACAACAAAGTACTGAAACTAGACTATACTTCATACTTCAATTTCTAAACTATATTCCACTCAGTATAGCAGCAAAGAAATTAATATTTGTTTTGAAATGATACAGAATGTGGAAATTAAACATTAGACTAAAACGCACAGTCCCTGTAGGAGCAGGGTCTTTGAAGGTATCCCACAAAATGCGCTTGCCAAGTTGGTTACTACCTTTCCCAATTCCTTTTAGCTTTAATGCTTTCTTGTAGGCAATAGTTCTCAACCTTGGCTGCACACTGGAGCCACCTGGGGAGTTGTAAAAAATTATTGAAGCCTGGATCTTATCCCTAGAGGTTTTAATATAATTGGTTTAGGGTGTGGTCTGGCGCTGTGATTTTTTTTTAAAGCTCCCCAAGTCTCTGTAATGTGCAGCCAAGGCTGAAAACCACTATTGCAGGAGCCTGTCCACAGATCATCCTGCCATTATTAACAAGACAGTTCTTTACAGCCACTTAAGCTATCAGAGCCTCCTGGAGTTGTCAGTATTATACTCATAAACCCCAGCTGTTGAAAACCCCCTTGACTTCTTCAGTGCCACAATGGCACCTTTGTGAGGGGGACTTTCAGTGATCACGCTGCTCACTGTTTCAGTAACTAACATGTCTTGTCAGGCAGCAGCTGGCATCAGGTGATGGTTAAGTCTCTTTCCAATTCTGAGATTCTACAACTCCTGCTCTCAAAGGGAAGGCAGTGGTCACATGCTTGTTTCTAAACTCCTTTGGCCACACTGTGGGCTTTAGAACACAAATGCTAAGGTTTAGAGGAGGTAAGGACAAGACAAGTTATGAGACCACTTTGACTTACAGGTGCTGCAACTGAGGCAATTTAAACATCTTGGGTGGGATGGCTGAGATTCGGTTCCTGTTCAGTTTCAACACCAGGAGTGTGTTGGCCAAGCTGTCAAAATATCCGGGTTCCATGGCTGTCACTCGGTTGCTGTTGATATACCTGTTGAAAGTTTGAAGAAGAGCTGCTCTTTTTGTTTTCTTTGCAAAGTTAAAATGCATGAAATCTCTATATTATAAAGAATATCCAGAAAACCTAACCATCAATGGACCTCCTGGTGGACGAAAGTTGATTTAAGATTCATACATACAGGCTGAAGCTATAGCTCAGTGGTACAGTGCACACTTGGTATGTGTGAGACCCTGGGTTCAATTTGCCAGCACCAAAAAATTAAATAAAATTAAAAGATTAGCATGGATTGCTGGGGAAAGAGTGACTGGAATAATCTGAAGGTTATAAAAATTTGTTATATATATATATCCACTTTTTGTGCAATTTGTTGTTAATAAAATTCAACAGTGCTTTAATTTTGCTTTCTTTTTAAAAGAAGCACTTTTAAAATATTTTTTGGACAGTCAAAGAATGTCTAATTGTTTGTAATCTAAAAGTATAAGAACAAAATCAAGACTGGTTCTTGGAACCTACAGCAAATTTCAATATGAAAATTAAATTTTTGATCCACAGCAATAAAATACGCAGTTTGTTGTATCTTAAGGTTTAACTTTTCATTATAAGATAGGAATTCATTAAAGGTTTGTTCACTCACAGATATTTGAGTTGTAGTGGTGGAAGTGCACTTTTAAGTTCTGAAATACTGTTGCTGCTCAGGTCCAAAGTTTCAAGTGATTGGAATTGTTTCAAATGTTCAGGTACTATCTCAGCAATCCTGTTTCCAGCCCTGGAATTAAAAGACAGCCCAGAAAACAGGTTTAGTGGTACAACCAACTGAAAGGAGAAAAATATTTTCTATTTCTACCTTGTTCTTCAGAAATATGGAAAAGTGATCAAACTACAAAGTACTTTCCAGAGTTAGACAGCATTATCGTGGCCACTTTGGTTTATTCATAAGATCATATGTCATGATACTAGAATATATAAAACATGTTCCTAAAAATTTGAGATATTACTTAGCAGAGGCCACCACTGAAAGCTTTAAGGGGACATCAATACTACAGCTCCTAAGGGAAGATTCAGTATTATGTGACAATTTTGTTAGAAAATAGGAATCAAATGGATATGTAAGACATCTGAATTGTCATATAAAACAAAGTCTTTTTAGTCCATCATTTGGCAGGGGAAAATTACTTGTCAAAGTAGAAAAGCTGGGAAGGTGACAGTCTACCTACAAATCATAAGAAGGTTTTCTCTTTACAACCCAAAGGACAATGAAACAACCTGAATATTCTAGGCAGACCTCTGTATCTCATGAAAGTCACATGAAAGACTATAGGTTGTGGTTAATCTTCACTTAACAAGAAAATTAGATATATTTCATAAATACATTTCTCTTAGAAAATACATCTCATGTGTCTATCTCTCTTCCCAATGCTTGGATTTCCGTAGTGTGCTGAGTTTATTAATCTCTTTGGCATTATTATAATTCACAGATCTCTTGCCATCTCAAAAGAATCCTGAGCTAGGTATATCTCTTATATATTTTCACAAATTCTTACATTGCCTTCTAATACAGCACCTACACTGTTGGTCTTTTCTGCCACATTGCAAACTTCTTTGAAGCAGGGGTATGCTGGTATCTCTCTATGTTGGAATGTGTATGAGGCCTAGTCATGCTGAGCACGGATTAGGTGCCCAGCCCTGTGCTAAATACTTTTCATAAATTATGCCATTCAATTATAAAATAATTTCTCTGGTTAGATGTAACAGATAATTTTAAAATTATGAAAGCAGAGCTTTTCACACAACATGTCCAACCAGTTCTGAGGCACTCTATAGAGTAAGTCTAGAACAGTCCCAAAGCAATCCTGGAAGACTTGTTTCAGAGAAAACAGAGTATCAACAGTATTTTGGCAATTGAGTTCTTACTGGACATGTACCTCTAGGAAGGTCTGTTACTTCTCATCTTGCAAAAATGTTGAACTCCTGGTTTCAAATTGATGTGGGAGTCCACACTGGCTCACTGAGCCATCATCATGCCAACACTTAAGGATGCAAAGAGGGCCCCTCCCAATCTGCACTTTCATTCCACATAGGTAGGAGTGGTTCCCCGGGATTTGCATGGGTTTAGCACCCATCAGAGTCAGAGGATGACTTCATGAATATGAGCAAATGTCAAGTACTGCTTTGTTTACAAGAGGAAAAAACAGGAGGTACATTCTACATTTAAACAACACTTTTCAAAATATTGCTAAAATACACTGTACATCACTTTTACAGACTGTAGGGGGATTTTTTTTTTTTCTGTTTTTAAATTTCAATAAATTCCAAGTCAGAGAATCTAACTTTTAGAAGTAATCCTACACAAGGTAGCACAAGCACAGACAATGTACATCTTAAGAGCCACACATGGTGATAACAATAAAGTTTAAAAAAAAAAAAAGGACCAGCAGTCTTATGCACAAGCCCTTCAGATTCCTGTAAAGTCGTACAGACTTTGTTTAGAGTCAAGTCAGCCATGACCTCTGATTTGACCATTTCCCACATCTGGATTTGCCAGTACACAAACTCCTTGATCTAGTTGTGAGGTACAGAGTAATGCAAGTGAGACAATTAGTCAATTTCTAGGTCCCGGAGATGGCTTCAGTCCAAGAGTCAAGCCACAGGGCCTTAGGGTCAGGGTTTGTGGGTTAAACAAAACCACACTTTGGGGGGCAAAATTTTTCTCTGAAATACATAACCCAATGTTTGCATTACCAGGATGTCTTCCCATGAACGGTAGAGAAACGCTGAAGTGTCTAACAGCCCCACTTTCCAGGTCCTTCCCTGTCCTACCACCTACCCCTTCAAACTCTGTACCTGGTTTGGCCATAGGCTGTCTGGGGTATGGTTATACTTACACAGCATTTAACAACAAAAAGTAAACATTCAGGTTTAGATTTATGCAATAAATGGAGCAGAATAGTTTTGGGGAAGGGGGGAAAGAGACCCACACGTGTCTATCACATTGGTCAAATAAGGCTACAAGTTAGATAACAGACCATACAATCTTCAGTTTATATATTTGTTTGTTTATAAGGTAATTATGAACAAGGTATTAAAACTGCCAATTACTTGAGTGACGAATAAAATTTTCCTTGCAGTAAAAGCATGCTCCAGCCAAAGCCAGCAATTTCCTGAACTGCACACCTCCTAAATTGCAGTGTGAAAGTGCTCAGTTATAGATGGAGCATGCACAGTGTGGTCTTTGTCAGCTCTGCAACCCAGCACAAAAATCCCTTACAACTGCCAGTATAATAGCCCCTGTATCACAAAAATTTAAATCTGTCTTAATGGAACCAAATTAAATCCAAATGCCAGTTTCTTATTAGTTCTTAGACTAACAGGCAAATAACCACCTGATATGTACTAGTTTAAAATAAAAAAACAAAAACAAACCTGCTTTCTATTATCAGAGGGGGTTAAAAAAAGGCAACTACATTAACAAATTATATTTAAAAATTTCTTTTATCATCTGACATTCTCAAAATGAATGCATTTCATCAACTGTGTCACAATGGCAACTTCTAGAAGACAAAGACTCAATTCAGCTACAGCTTTCGTTTTCTTCCCAAATATTGATAAATGCCAAAATTGGTCAACACATTTAAAAACATAGCAGCTAGCTAATATTTTTGGCGGGAAATGTGCAACACTTGAACAAAAGAAAAGCTGTTTGAATGAATACCTATTTCCATTACTTAAGTTATGTGGAAATGCTATCTTTCTGGTTGTTCAAAAAACAATATGGTCCTGTAAACATTGGAAGGTGTTTAGGTCTCATGCAAATCCCTCTTAGAGACCAGGAATATTTTGGTTCTACGTTTGTTGATAGTACAGGGAGTTCCATGGTCAAATCATTGCTGAGGTGACGATAATTAGACCCTTGTGGGATAAACAGACCTGGGGCATGGTTGGTGGGGAATGTGAATGGTTGATTTCTTCAGGCTTCTAAGTGGCCACAGGTATTTCAGCCTTGGCTTCTTAAGTCCAACAATAATGGCTTCATTTTGTTGTTAATTTCATCTTTCAGCCAATGTTGCCAAATATCTTTATAACGCAGATGTAAACATGGCTTACCATTTTCATTGGGTGATGTTTACTCTGAGTGCTAGAGGGAGATCTAACCATGAACAACATGGAGATGCCCTTGACCTTACTTGGGCTGAAGTCTAGAAGAGAGAACAGCAGGCAAATGGGAGTGGTCAACAGTATGGCAAGTGCTGTGAGGAGGAAGGAAAGGGGCAAAGGAATGTGAGAGCAGTGGGAAGTGTAGGGAAGTCAGCAAAATGGCAAAGGAGAGAAGAGGCCAGCACTGACTGCTCCAAGCCGAAACAAAGACATTAGGTCTCAGGCAAGTGAGAGTTAAAGCAAGGCTTCTTCCCCTTGAGGAAATGAAATAATGCCTTGTTGGCTGGAGTGTAGAGATCATGGATAGAGAACAGAAAAACATGAAGAGTGTGGTGGCTGAAAAGAGAAGACATCAAGTGGTAGGAAACCATTTTAAGCACTGGCTTTTACTTCAGGATCAACTGTAGGTGGGGATCAAGGGATTTCACATGGTAGGCTGTTAACATTACATGTGTTACACATTGGCTGCTCTGGCAGCAGTGGGTAGGAAAAGAAATGGGTGAAGGAAAGAAGAGATTGATTGCTATGTGGAAGGCTCCTAATTCAATGCAGAATTCAGGGCAGAAGATCGTATGCTGTGTACCTTTTTTCCTCAGGCTTCCAGAGCACAGGCTGAGCTTTACTCCACCCCTGCACACAGGCCCAGGTTTCCAGCTCTGTAAACATGCAGCTAAGTTTAGCTCTACCCAAGTTCCCATCCTCTCTGTTTGTTACCTTTGTGTTTCATATTTCAAATACAGGAGGCCTTCTAGGGGCATGCTAGGGTCCCTTTTTACTCAGGTATGAGATGCTACTGACATTTTAATGTGTCTGTAACCACGACGAAAATGATTGTGTTGTTCTCACATATTAGAAATGTGCTCATTTGTTCTGATACTCTGAAAATCTGCTTGGAATGTAAGCCTGGACTAAATTAATAAGAGCAAAATGTAACTGATGAGGTTAGTGATATGATCACTTAATATGATGATGACTGTTTTTACTGTTTGGGTGCTGTGATCTCCAGAAATCCTAAGTATCTCAAAAGCACTCAAATACTCTGGATATAAATGGTGCTAGTTTACTTCCAACATCAGAAAAGAGAACCACAGAATGGAATATTCTGTTACTGAGGAATCAAAATATCAGGATTTTTTTCACACTGAAAATCATGAACAAATTGGGCCCGTGCTTTTTGATGAATAAGAAACATCTGTCAATAGTTTCAACTGTCTACTATGTGTTGCATAAGATAACAGGTAGCTCACAGCCTTCTGGTTGTGATGTGTAAGGCTGGTCAATCTTAGCAATTTAGGGAAGCTATGTGCATGAGGCATTTTCCTTTTAGAGAGGTATGTGCACTGAAATTTAATTTGAAATCAGGTTTATATGTTTGCAATGCCCTTTCTTCTTAGAATGCAATTGTCTAATCACATCCCTTAAGTCCCATTCAGTTATTTCAAGGAACAATTGCTGTATCAGTGTTCATTCCATACAAACAATCACCATGCAAGCATATTAAATATATTGACGGGTATGGTCTGACCTAGCTCCTAGGAAATACTGATTTCTATACAAGCAACCAGCTGAGCACCCTTTATAAGGAAATCACACATTAGTAAAGAAAACACTACT